GAACTCCTTATGAAAATGTATAAATAAATTAATTAATTGTTGTAAAATTCATTAGGTGTTGTCCGTTTTAATAACTATAATTATATGAAAGTACATTCTATAGTTACAAGCGGATACGTTAATCTAACACGTATTGTATACTTAAATAATGATTTATTAACCTCTATAAAAAGTATTTAATCTCTTGTCAATTTAACCCTCTTGTGTATTTCAATGGTACTTCAAGAAACTACTCATACGGCATCTACCATCCTCCCAAGCGAAGATCACCTTTCTAGTTATATCTTGATGCCCAAGGCGTTAAGACTTGTCGTATCATCCTTACCTTAATAACAACTTTTTTTTATTTCTTACCGAATGTCGCTTCAGCAATAATTTTCTCATTCATCTCATCTTCTTCAATTTGTAGTTGTCGGTTTTGAACGTCGACTAACTTTCGAATTTCATTCCAATGCGTGATAGTTTTATGATTTTCTCCCAATGTTGCTAAATATAGTTTTTTTTATCCTTATCGAGCTCTGTTTTTGCTTTGCAACAGATGTCGCCCCAAAACTCTATGAATTACTCTTCACCATTTTTTATTTGGTGCTCATTAGTGACAGCTATCTAACGGGCATTATTTCAATACCATTTCACATATTCTACTGATCGCGATCCTATCGACAATATTTTTATAACAAACTTGATTTTTCGTTTCTCAGCAATCTCTGCCGCTTCGTGAAGATTTGCTCCTAGCAGTTCTTCAACAATTATTCTCTTTCAAGTTCTAAATGCTTGTATCGGATGGCAGCCAATTTATTAGTTCCATTTTAATGCTTAACTGTGCCTTTCTGTCTTTTAATTTCTTCTGCTACAGTGGGTCATAGTGTCTCTATCATTCTTTTATATCGTGTTCTGTTGTTTTGGTTGTGAAGAGATGTTACTCCTTTCATTTATTCTTCAATGGCTCTCCGCCAAGTTCTAAATGGCGGTCCTGGGTAATAGTTATTTTGTAATGTCCACTTTTATGTTTAGCCTCGATAATATTTTTTCTTTCTTTTCTCCTTATTTCTTAGTAGAACTCTCTACTATCCTTTTATATTACCATCCAGTGCAATATACTTTGTGATTTTGGTTGTCGATATGAAAAATATTTTGTGTAAATGTATTTTGTTGTTGGTTGTTTACAATATCACCATGTTAGCTCGTTATTAGAGATCGTGAATGCCACTAACATTAAAGTAAGCGAAAAATGCAATTTCTTTTGTGTATCTCCTTTATATCAAACAACCTATATAGCTTCTGATTTCGCATAAGAAGGATGTCTTCTTTTTTTTATCTCGGATATATTAAACAACCTTTATAATTTCTGCTTTTGCATAAGAAGGACGTCTTCTTTTATTTATGTTGGATATATCAAACAGCCTTTCTATCTTTCGATTTCGCATAAAAAGGATGTCTTATTTTATCTATCTCAGATATAGCAAACACTACCTATGCAGCTTCTGATTTCGCATAAGAAGGACTTCTTGTTTTATTCATCTCTAATATAGCAATCTGCCTTTGTAGCTTCTGATTTCGCATAAGACGGATGTCTTCTTTAACTTATTTCGGATATATCAAACATAGCCTAGGTAGCTTCTGATTATGCATAAGAAGGAAAAACAAACCGCATAAGAACGATTTCTTCTTTTATTCATGTCTGAGTTATCAAGCAACCTTTGTAGTTTCTGATTTTGACTAAAAAATGCTTCTTCTTTTCATCTCTGAGATATTAAACAGCTTTCGACTTCTCATACTTTTGAACCACTTGAGGACTTAGTATATATAATTTTGAATCCATTTTCGTGATTTATTTTATTAAAACCAATTTTAGAGTTTTAATTAGTTTCATCTACCTTATCAAAAAAAAAGTTCTACTTGCTTTCTGAATGTATGTTAATTTCCAATTGAATATAGAAAACTCGAGTCATATTTATTTTTTAGTACCGTCTCATGAAGAAAATGGCTTAACTGCACTATACGTCGCCGTCTTAATTCCAAATAAATTATGTGTAATAAAACGTGAAAAATAAACAAAAATGATAACTAATTAGTTCATCTTTTATTGTCATGCTGAGTTTCTATCCTAGTTTTTTTTTCTTCCATTAAATATAATAGAAAAGTATTTTCCAAAAATCTTTTTCAAAATACTTTTAATGAATTTGTTATTTTTTTTTTTTTTTGTTTCTCTGGTATTCTTTCAACAACAATACGAGAACGAAGTCATCATTAGGAATTAGCTACTTATTTTTTTATACCTTTACCGACTTTTTCTAAACAAGGGATATACGTCCATAATTTTGTTTTTTATTTACTTATAGAGTTTTATTTTCTTATTTGTACGATTTTAAACACTTTAATGCATTAAAATGTTTTATGTCTTTATCTCATAAAATATGTTGCCTAAAATGCTCGTAAATTTGTACTTCAAACATTGTGTTCCGGAAAAGGCCATAAAATCCCTTAAAGTCTACACCAACTCGTGTGTATAGCACTTAAATAAGTGTTTTGTTGTTCCTGTTGTTGTGATTGTATCTGTTTTTTATTTTTGTGTTTTATGAAATTCCTAAACTCCTTTAATACTTAACAGCATACTGCAACATAGCACATAAATGCTATGCACAGCACACACTTCCTTATTATAATATTGTTTCGTTTGGTTTTCGTTTCGGTACTGTCTGGCTGGCACTTTGGCTGTTTAGCAGTTTGGCAGTTTGTCAGTTTGTCAGTTTACTGTTTATCTATCTTCAAGTGTATCTGTTGGTTTTCGTCCCTTTGGTTTTTGTTTTTTGTTTTTGTTTTTTCTAAAATATTTTTGTATTATTTTTTTATAATTAAAAACAAAATTCCTTCTTTTTTTTTTCATATATGTTGGTAGTTTTTTTTTCTTCTCATTTTTTGCTTGCACTTTACATCTTAACGCACTCTGCTCTTCAGGTCTTGATATTGCCCTTGCCCTATGCTCGTTTGTTTGCCTATTGAGCTGCTAGCACACTTAACAGACTATTTATGGCCTAAACGGTTAGATCAATGGATCGACGGTAGCAACAACAACAACAGAAGCAACAATCTTCAAGTACAAAATTAATATCATTCACACCCGAAATGCATTTAAACGTGCTGCAAACAATAATATTTATTTTAAACTACAAAATGGAAAAACGAACATAAATTATACGAGTATCTAGGTACATATGCAACCTCGCATGTAACGATGAAGCGTGTAGATACAGTTTTATATATACATATATACATATATATATGTGTATGGTATATTAAGAAAACGTTTATTTAGTAATTGAATGTATAATTACAACACAAATAACACGAAAAGGGACAGCTATTTCCCTCTATTTGTAGAGTGTGGAGTGTTGTACCCCTTGTCTTGTCATGTCTTGTCTTGGTTTGTCTGGTATGGTCTGCTCTGGTTGGTCTGGTCTGGTCTGGTGTTACACGTTAGGTTGTGTTGTCTCCTGTTATCATCGTATCTTTTTTTTTTTTTTTGTTTTTATCAATATGTACGCAGCAACTTAGGCGGTGGCGGCAGTTTGAAGATGTTGACAACCATTGGAAGAGGAACGCGTATGTTTGCATATGGTTGGGTGCACGATCCCTGAACCTATTAACTAGCACTATCGGAGATTGCGTTACACTACATGCGGATGTTATATGTTATATTACGTCGTCGTCGTTTAAGTTATTGACTAGGATTTTAATATCTACCTGTCGCACTTCTAAATATCCACAACTAACTTAACTTTAAATAACAACTTAAGAACCAAAATATTCACTGACATTCAGCAAAAAATCAAGTATGCTGCAACCCCTGCTAAAAAAATTAAAATAAAAATAAAAACATTTTAAGAAAATATATGGGAAAATATGCTGTAGGGGTTTTTGTTGTAGTTGTTGAGTTGTACTTTTTTTTTTTTTTATTTTTTTTTTGTTATACTTTATTCATACGATTTTTGTTTCTGCTGTTGGCTCGTTTTTCACATTTCCATTATATTCACTATGTGGAAAACTATCTTTTAACACGCACGCATTATTCATGGATTCATGTGTTAGCTGCACACTTTGGTTTAGTTTGGTTCGGTTCAGTTCGGTTCGGATCAGTTTGGTTTGGCTGGTTGGTCTGCTTAAGACGGGTCGGTTGCTGAGCTGTTAATACGCCAGCATAGCTTACACGTCCATTCATGTACGTTTTATTATATATATATATGGTATATATATGTATATATATATATTCTTTTCATTTCATTTCTAATGTTGGCAATAAATATATAAGTGTGTTTTGTTTTGCTTTAATTCTGTAGTATTTTCCATTTGTATTCCTTTTTTTCTTTTTGGGTATTTTTTTTTGTTTTAATTTTTTTGTTCTATTATTAAATATGTTTTATTTTTGTTTTTAGTATTTTTGTTTATTTTATGAAATGGCATATACAGTGCTAGAGTGCACGCACGACCCAACACGACCTTTCCATTGCCATATCATGCCAAATTATATCAATTCCTGGCTAGCTGTCTGCCTTCCTGCGTGCCTGCCTGCCTGCCAGCCTGCAAGCCACACATCTTAGGTGAAAATATGTGTAATAGGCACTGCAGACAATTACACTAAACATTCTTCCTGTCAGCGCATATTTTCCCATAAAATAGTTTGCATTTGGTTGGTTTCGGTTTTACTTAACACCAGTAATTCATTCCCCTGCATTGTTCTTACTTAGTTTTTTCTGGATTTCATTTATTTCATACTTTCCTGCCGGCTCCGGCTCCGGCTCCAACTCTTCTCGCTTTAAATTATTTAAAATCTGCGTAAAATCTATTTAAAATCTAATAAATTATATGCACTTACATGGATTCTAAGTTTTTCAATTTCATGCATTACACACAACACAGTCTTTTAATTTTATCTTTGAATTACTTTAACGCATTTATAAATTATTCTTATTCTTATTTAAATTTTTTTCATTTCATTTCAGATTTAAATCTTCCAATCCAAATCGGTGAGTTTCGCATTTATCTATCTAACGTCTGGATAAGCGTATCCGTAAGTTGGCATATCAAATATTTATGCGCTTTGAAATAAATTCAATTAAGTTGAACTGTTTATTTGATACTCTAGTAGTGCTACAATTTATTGTTGTAAATAATATTAGAAAAGTTATACTTGAACGTGCACAGAATAGTGAGAATAGTGAGAATCTTATGAATATATGAATAACTTATGAATAACTGTTCACTTAACATAATTATATACTTTTATTCTCCGTTAGTATAAATTTTTCTGACTACAGTTCATAATAGTTTTTACTAAGTTTCTTTCGGGTTAAGTTCAAGTTTATAATTGACATCGGCAGGATATAACTTAAGCAAAAATAACCAAATTTTTAAGAGATATTAAATTTTTTAAAATATAGAAAACTTACTACCATACTTAGGTTAGGTTATATCGGTGATCCCCAGTGGATCCTCTTAGGCCTATTGGCCCATTGTGATGCCGTATATAAATAATAAAAACCTCAGGGTTTAAAACCACCTAGAACATTTTGCGAAGCATAAAATGCTATTTAGAGTCAGATCCTGTAACTGGTCCAGGTCTTCAAGGAAGGGGGCTCCTAAAGTAGTAAGTCGCCGATCACTACCATACTTACATGATACGAAATGTGTCAGTTATCTAAATAGCAAATTTTTTTAAATATAGAAAACTTACTACCAATCTAACATGATATAAAACGGGTCAGTTGTCTAAAAACTAAAGGCTTTACCTGTTATTTATACTACAAGATACATTCCAAGATTAGATTGATTAGATTAACAAGTTGTGGTAATACATTCCAAAATAGAGACGACTTTTGAAAAATATAGGTATATTTATAGAAATGCATTATATTAATAGACCATTGGTTTAATTGATATAATATTTATTTATAAAAAAACAAACTTTTTTTTTTGTTTGTTATTTTTATTTACATTTTGTTTTACATGTCAAATTTTAAAAATTTCCTTTTTGGGAAATATTTTTTGCAATGTTGCATTCGAGATTTTCTTTTTTTTTTTGTAATTTCCCTTGATTTATTTTTAACTATTACTATGTTCAGACAGCCAAATTTCCTTAATTTCGTAATTAAGGAAATTAAGTTAATTTCGAAAGTGTTCATACTGTAACTGAGAAATTTTAAAAATTGTTTATTATAAATATAAAAGTTGACATTCAGTGGTTTTATTAGGTTTAGTGGATTTCAGGTATGTGAATTATTATTTTTCATTATATTTTAACTTAATAACAGTTATAGTTCTTTCTCTATATTTAAATTTAAAAATTTCCATAACTTTCAAAATATTTCCCGGTTTTATTAAAGTCAACTGGCATTGACATTTGTTTACAAAAAATGTCACTTTTACGTTATCTCAACTTTGTCTTATGCTTAAAATTTATCTTACGCATAGTTGTATTTGAAATGTCCCTAAATTTTAGCCTTTATTTAAAACAAATTAAACCCATTTTCATTAATTTCCTTCTAACCTTAAAACTGTGTTATTTTGTGTGGGAAAAACAACTTAATTTTGCTAAAACGAAATTTCACGTGTCAAATTTGTCAAATTTTGATAATTTCCCTTTTGGGAAATATATTTTGCAATGTTGCATTCGACATTTTCTTTTTTTTTTGTAATTTCCCTTGATTTATTCTTAATTAAGTTAAAAAGCTTAAAAGCTGCTTGCATGGTTAATCAAATTTCAATAGCGATCTAAATGAAATAAACTGTTTTAATGAAGGCAATGTAAAAATAGTTGGCATAGCAGCCTTCAGCACTGAAGTCCACTTGAGCTTATAAAATTTCTTATTATAATACTGTGGATAGACATTTTTTTGTACACCGGATCTAAAGGACCAACAGAACAATATATTTATCTAATTTTGTGAATTATTTAATATTCGAAAATGTTCACTTACATTTCCAGTTCATGGTTTGTGGTCGGTGCACAGTCCATTGTTAGAACTTAATAAAGTTCTGCAATTAATATCTGAAAATGTTCATATATGCATATATAGTATGTAATATTTTGGCAAATATTTGAACTGAAAGCTACGATTCTGCTTCTTTTGTGGTGTCAAAAGTAGCAGCATTTGGGTAATAAATAAATCTCAGAAATAAATCCGCATACGCTTGGTTTGTTGTCTGAAATGGCATAACGTGCGGAAAAACTATGACATATGACCGTGTATGCTATTCACAAACAGACAGACAAGGAAGACAGACGGTCGGATGGATGAACGAACAAACAGATAGTGTAGCAAACAGAGCAGAGCTGTTTTGTTTTTATTAATTGGTTACTGTATTGAGCTGTCTCATTGTATTGCTAAATCTAGCAGACGTCATTGTCACCACATACCACCAGTGTGCACTCGACTCGACTCGACTCGACTCGACTTAGCTCGACTCGACTATAGTGCATAATTTGGTATGGAGTACGTGCGTCGATTTGGTATTTCGCTCAGTAACAGAAAAGCAACGAAATTCAAAAATGAAAACCAAAACGCATTTCATGGGAGTGAGAGTATCTGTGGTGTCTAACATACTTGGTGCATGCATATCTGTCGTCTATGCCTTCGCATATCTGTCAGTCGAAATGTCTCCTGTTTGTCGGGATTTTTGGCTACTAAAATTTTTTTATAATTTTTTTTGTAACTAAATTTTCTTTACAATTGGTTTTCATAATTTTTCTTTTTTTTTTTACAATTTTTTGAGTATTTCTTTATTATTTTTTGTTTTTGTTTCTGCTCGCTGGTGCTTATTTCTCATATCCTCATTCATTTCTCAGTGCCTCAAGTACTGCTCCACTTGAAAATTTGGCATCAAATGTCATTGTTTCCAAATGTTTTTTTTATATTTTTCGTCTTATTTTTTGTCAAATTTGTATGAAAAATTTTTAATTTTATTATTTTTGTTAGTTTGAATTAGTGAAGTATTTTTCTTTCTCTTTCCAAATACGAGTATTTCTATTATTATTTTCGTTTCATAAAAAATAGAATTTTTATCTTATGTCGGCGGCATTCCTACATGACTGTGGCCGGTCGCCTCTGAATTGTCGGTGGACGGTTGGGAAAGTGTGGATTTAAATGAGTTTTTAAAATACTTGTGCACGTTCTTTACTGGCGTTTCATTTGTAAATGAATGGAAATATTTTTAAGCGTTTTGGCATTTGGCTGCTTTGGACGAACGTCTTTTATGGTATTTGCTTATAGCATAGCACTTAACCAACATCATTAGAATGTTGAAGAGCACCATCAGCAGAAGCGCAACATGGCGTTGGCAACAATAACTAAGTCAACATTTATTTGACTCTGCCATTTTAATGAATCACTTAATTGTAGTTAGAACTCAAGCTAAAGACTACTGCGTAAGTCGGTGGATGAGGCAATGGATGCTGTTCGCGTTATGTTGACGCAGTGTTCCATGCTCTTTGCTATGAAGTGGCAGAGTCACCACTTTGGCGACGCCAATTGAAATATTGTAATTTTTGCTTATCTAAAAACACATACATACATATATCTATAATGATGAACTTTTATGTATATATGTATATAGGGTGATCCAATTGAAGTGCGAATTTATAAAACAAAGCATTGTTTCATTTGATTGATATCAATGAAGCAATAAATACAACTACTTAGAATGATTTCTCATGCTTTTTAAATTTGCATCGTAGTCGACTTTAGTGTGAACTAAGGCTCTGAGGTGGTAAATAAACAGGTCGCAATCTCTTTCTCAATTCATAAAGAGTACATCAATAATTTGGTATTTTTCAGTGCTGATATTGGACTAATAATCTATACACTGAAGTCGAGTAAGGCAAAATGAAATTCAGAACGTTGTTTCTTAATCATTGTAACTTGGTTCAAGCTATGTTTAATGGTGTAAAACAGTAGTGAAATCATAATTATACTAAGGAAAAAATGTACTAGAAAATATTTTTCTTGTCAGCTTTTTCGCAGTGTATTATTTGTAGATTATATTACCAATCGTATGCTCTAATCATCTCTCTGGATACGAAAGAGATGTTCACAGTTTTAACGTGATTACCTGCCTTGTTGGCTCAACACCACAGCGTTCTAAACACACGTAACAAGATAATGCACCGATAGACGCCCCATTGGAATTGGGAATTTCAAAGATTTTCGCATATACTAACATAATTAAAGTTATGTGTTTGGCATAATCCAACCTCGTGTGAAAAGGCAACTTCACATGTTTTTTTTTTCAATCAGAGAAGACGATATTCGGAAACTAGCCGAGTTCTTAAAAGCTTAATAGTCTTTTCGTTTTAAAAAGCTAGGTCTATTCTTATGAATCGATAAAATCTTGTCGTTTGTTATGAGTTTTTGGCTAGCAACAAACAGAGCATGGGAAACACCAGAACAATGCAGTACAGAAATTAGTGAAAATCGAGAGTGAACACCAATTTTAGTTGTGATATTACCATCTGGGTGACAATCCAAACTTATAGTGTGGATTTCTGTAGCATATACGTATATTTCTTTATGATCTGCAAATTCGTAGTTCCTAATTTGCATTTAAATAATGAGAATAATATTTAAATGTTTGAATATTTGCTTAACAGTTATCATATAAACCGATATTTATTGAGTCTTTTAAATAGATCTTCACAATTGACATGCAGTTTTATATATACAGTCAAATTGCCATAAATCGAACTAAATAGAGTTCAATAGAGTTTGGAGAGGAAATTACATACAATTATAAGAAATTCTTTAACTCGAAGTCTCCATAAGTCGAATCTTTTCTTTGCAAATTGATATTTCGAGGAAGTTTACTGTATTTCCAGTTTATACCTAGTTATAATGTATTAAACTTATTTTTGGCGTAAAATGGGAGTCTTATAATCTTCTGGGAGTCTTATAAGGTCTTTATAATTTAAATGTGTTTTATATATATTTCAAGTTTGCATGGAATTGATTTGAAGATCAAGCCGGTAGTTTTA